CCAGCACCAGCTCTGTTCTCCCCTCTGTTCCTCCCAGGCTGGGACTCTGCTGTTCAGTCCTGTGCTGAGTGGCAGAGYGATGTACCTTATTTGAATAGATTTGAATAATGTCTACTTTATTGTGCCATTAAGCCTTCAGTAGAAAGGAATCACTTCTGTAATTCAACAGTGGGTTTATCAAAACACTCTAAATGAAAGTTGCTGGTAGAGGCAGGTTTTAAGCAGCTGATAGAGGTTGTTATAAGGTTTAGAAATACACTTRTGTTATATATCTTTTAAAGCTTGCCCTTAAAAGCCATCTCTCAGGTTTGATCTCTGCTTTTGAAGTCCACTCAAAATCTTCTTGCAGGAGATCAGTTTGGGTCTGCAAGAGGATGATACGGAGCTGTGTCAGGGGAGGGTTGGATCTCAGAAAAAGGTTCTTCACCCAGAGGGTGCTGAACAGATCCCCAGGGAATGGGCACGGCCCCGAGGCTGCCAGAGCTCCGGCTGCATTTGGACAAAGCTCTCAGGCACGGGGTGGGATTGTTGGGGTGTCTGTGCAGAGCCACGAGTTGGATTCCGTGATCCTTGAGGGTGCCTTCCAAATCAGGGCATTCCAGGAATCTGTGATAAGAGCATCCAGAAACCACTGGAGTTAGGAAAGAAAGGACCTGAGCCCTTCCGAGGTCTCCCCACCAAAATTGCACTGGTGAAGGCAGCCAGCTCCTCCTCAGCCCTCTGTGCCCTGGTGCCACCTCCAAAGGTCACACCAAAGGTCACACCGAAGGTCACAGCAAAGGTCACAGCAAAGGTCACACCAAAGGTCACAGCAAAGGTCACACCGAAGGTCACACCAAAGGTCACAGCAGCACCCAGCAGGGGCAGGGCAGGGCTGCTGCTGAAGGATCTGCAATCCAGCTGGGAGCTGAAATCCCACATCCTCCTCCCTGTGTGCAGAGCCCCGTGGGTCGTGCAGAGGGCACGGCGTGTCCTTCATCCTGGCTGATCTCCTCCTTGCTGCAAATTCCTCCTTGCAGCAAATTCCTCCTTGCAGCAAATTCCTCCTTGCAGCAGATTCCTCCTTGCAGGAAATCCCTCCTTGCAGCAAATTCTTCCTTGCAGCAGATTCCTCCTTGCAGCAGATTCCTCCTTGCAGCAAATTCTCCTTGCAGCAAATTCTCCTTGCAGCAAATTCTCCTTGCAGCAAATCCCTCCTTGCAGCAGATTCCTCCTTGCTGCAAATCCCTCCTTGCTGCCCTCGCTCTGAGCCATTGCAGCCGATGCACAATGAGTCACACTTCACAAAACAAGTGCCTCCATTGGGGCTGTCAAAATAAATGTGCAAAACTTGATTCTTTAGGCTAGGTGTTGTTGTTATTAGCTGCAGGTTGTCTTGGGAAGAGCTGGATTTGGTGGACAATAGGCCATTTTTCCCCTTTTAGTTTCAAAATTAAGATTAGCTGCAGCAAAGTGATGTTGTGCTTAATTTCTTCCAAATTAGTTTGTAACKGCCTGACAGATTTTGGGTGCATCATTGTCCTTGCTGTGCATCATTGACAGAAATAAAGTTCCCCATGCAGGTACATATTAGCAATTTTTATTAACCCTAATCCTTTTTGGGTTGTTCAGCCTGGAAAAGAAAAGGTTTGGGGTTGACCTAATTGCAGTCTTTCAGTACCTGAAGGGATCAAGAGAAAGATGGGGAGAGACTTTACAAGGGCCTGGAGTGAAGGACAAGGGGAATGGCTTCCAGTGCCAGAGGGCAGGGCTGGATGGGATTTTGGGAAGGAATTGCTGGCTGTGAGGCTGCAGATGAGGCCCTGGCACAGGCTGCTCAGAGGAGTTGTCACTTTGCCATCCCTGGAGCTGTTCAGGCCGGACTGAACGGGGCTTGGAGCACCCTGGGATAGGGGAAGCTGTCCCTGCCCCTGGCAGGACRTGCAAGGAGCTTCAAGTGCCCTCCAACCCAAATCATTCCATGATTCTGATTCTTTTCTGAGCAGATTGACAAGGGAGGGAAGGAGGCTCATTCCATCCCCAGCAGTCTGTGCTGTGGAAGCAGGAGAGCAGAGAGGAGGAAGATGTGTGACCTTGAGGACCAAAATAAAAATCCCATGGAAAGGGGAAGATTGTGCCCACAGGGACTCGTAATGAGAGTTTCTGCTGCACACTCAGGGTTCATTAGTTGGAAAGGGCAGAGGAGGAGAGAAGGTCTTGCCTGGGGCTGAGACATGAGCTAAATTCCCCTCCAAGTCCCTTCAGCTCTGTGACTGAGAGCTACATAATGAACAACTTCTGTTTGTTTCTATTTTGTGATGCRCAGGAGACTCGGGGTGATTTTGGTACCACAGCAGAGGCACTGTCAGAGGCTGAAATGCCTCTCAGGTCACCAGGGGTTGAGAACARCAGATGAGGTGCAGAGAGGGGCTCYTGGAGAGGWRGAGGAGGCAGTGCYTGTGTTCAGAGAAGGAATTCAGAGCATTGCTCTTTCAGTGGGTCCAAAAGAAGGCTGAGATATGCAGCAGGGTAAAGCCCAGGGACAGGGTTGAGGCACAGAAGAATGTCAGACAGATGAATAATTTGAGGTGTGAAAGATTTGAGGGTAAAAGAAAGTTTCTGATGGCAGAGTGGTGAGATCCAGGAGCAGGGAGCCTCTGGAAAGGTCTCACAGAGGGGCTGGCCCAGGCTGAAAGTGGAACTGCTTTTAAAGTGGAGAATTGGGCTTTTCCGAGCCATTGCCTGCAGCAGTGACAGGCTGCATGTGGTGACTCTGAGATGGATTTTCCAGCCTCCTGTTTCTGGGTGTTAGCTGGAGGCTGCTGGGCGTGCTGCTGAGCATCCTCATGGGTTGGAAGGGACTTTGTAGGTCACCTTGTTCCATTGCCAGCCATGGCAGGGACCCCTCCCACTGTCCCAGGGTGTCCCCAATGTCCAGCCTGGCCTGGGCACTGCCAGGGATCCACAGCTGCTCTGGTCACCCTGTGCCAGGGCCTTACACCCCACAGGGAACAATTCCTGCCCAATTTCCATCCATCCCTGCCCTCTGGCAGTGTGAAACAATTCTCCTTTGTCCTGGAACTCCACCCCATTGTTCCCAGTCCCTCTCCAGCTCTCCTGGAGCCCCTTCAGACCCTTCAAGGGGCTCTGAGCTCTTGCACAGGGAAATGTTCCCAGTTSTCCAGCCTGGCTCCAGAGAAGGGGGGCTCCTGTGCCCATTAATCCACTAGGAGTTAAAACCAAATACATTTAAAAGTATTAAAAATTAGAATCTCTTCTTATTCAGTTGCTCCTTTATTCCCTTCCCCCATCACTTCTTCTCTGTGTGGTCTCTGCTGCCCACTTTGCTCAGCACTGAGGGTTAACATGAGAGCTCTCTGTAACCCTGAGTACCATCCTCCAAACTCTGGGATTCAGCAAAACTGTTTTATTGACAGTAGAATAAGTACAATGCTCCAAAAGAAAATCAACTTTGTGTTTGKTTCTTGCTCACACTCGTATGCCAGAAGTCCGTGGGCTCCACTCCTGCAGTTGCCTTCTCTGTGCTCTCTCCATTACCTCTGGCAGTGGAGCTGCTGTGGGATACAGCACCAGGATGTGCTTGTTTGCCTGGTGGGAAAAGCTTTATTCGGAGTGTGATCCCTTCATTGGGGGCAGGGAGATGGAGAAATCTGCTGTCACAAAGCAGACAGACGGCAGCTTCCAGCATCCAGCCTGTGCAGCACGCGTTTATCTGCCTTGCACAGACGAGCAAATCCTGCAATCCTTGCAGCAAATGGGAGATATGGAAAGTTTTAAGKTTCATTTTGCTCGCTGTCATCTCTTTTGTCTTTCTTATTGARCAGCAGTAATTTAACAGCATGTTGGACTCCCATTCGGGCGTTTTCATGGCTTTCATTGTATTGAGTTCCTGTTGAATGTTTGAGTCTTGTGGTGTAGTTTGATTCCTGATGGAAAAAGCACTAATTATTTCATTAATACCGAAGTGGGATTTGTCCATACTGAACAAGAAAACAGAAAGGACTGATTATATTGGGTCAAATGGTATTTCTCRGCCTTTGTAGCTGATGTGGAGCAAAAGAAGAAGCTCTCTTGAAGCTGTAGTCATTGGTGCACACTCACATTCTCCTCTTACTGTAACATCCCACAGTAACACCAATCCTGTGTAATTGTGYGTGGGACTGGGGCCAGGCTCAGGTGAGAACCTCCTTTGGTTTCTGGGCTGGGCTCTCACATYATGGCTTTCTAATGCCACACTGAAGATGGCTGTTGGCCATGCAGGTAAAATCTTTACAGGAGTGAGGTGGGAGGGAGAAGGTCACACACTGAGGGTCAGCACGGGATCCAGTGCCCTGCTCCTCCAGGATGGGAGAAAGCTGACTGCCCGTTCTATATTAGAATCACAGACTGAAAGGGCCCTTAAAACCCATCTGATTCCTCCTTCCTGCCATGGACACACTTTCCCCCAGGTTGCTGCAAGCGCCATCCAGCCTGGCCTTGAACACTTCTGTTGTTCTTGGGAAAATGTTCTTTACTGTGTTAAAGCCTGGAGTGCTGTTAAGGTGGTACATGGAGTTCAGTTCTGGAGATAGCGTTTGGAGGTGCAAATGGCCATGGTGGGGTGTCTGATATCAGTGATTGGGGTCGATGGAAAAAACTGATTCTGTGTTTGACTGCTGCTGGGGTCGATGGGAAAAACCCTCAGTCCTGCTGATTACATAAGCTGCTCCTTTGTTATTGAATTTAGGGAGAAATACAATCCTCGTGTAGTGCCTGACTTTTTAGTAGCCTGATTTTTGTTCAGTGAATGTGTTTTYTTGCGATGACTGGTGTTTTGATGGTTGCTGACAGTGGTTTTAGCTTTGCCCAGCTGCGTGCTGGAGATTGGCCAAGTGCAGCTGTGTGGTTGGTGGTGGTTGTGCCCTGGAGCGTGTAAGAGCTGTAGAAGCAGTGCTGGGGGACAGGGAAGGTGTAACGTGCTGTGTAACGTTTGTTTTCTGCCCCTGCTTCCCTGGCTGCAGACTGTACCAAAGCCCATCGCCCTGGAGCCCTGCTTTGGGAACAAAGCTGCTGTTCTCTCCGTGTTTGTGCGGCTGCCTCGAGGACTTGGGGGTATTCCACCACCAGGACAGTCAGGTGAGGATTATTGTTCTCTCTGATGGACGGCACTAACTCTCTCCTCCTTCCACAACCTCACGGATTCACCTTTCCTGCTGCCACAGAAGCTGCTGTAGCCAGAGTTCATCTTGGAACATGCTCRGGATATTTTAGGCTCCCTGGTTTGGGCCCTACTGGTTTCCAGCCTGAGCTTTGAGTTAGTTCCTCGAGTCACTTAAGGGATGAACATTTGATGTTCGCATTATGCTATAATGAACGGCCTGATGGGGGAAAGAGGGATCTGGCACAGACATGTTTGCAGTAGTTCCTTGTGAAAGTMACTTGGCCTGTCCCGCTTCATTCCCAGCTCCGTTTGCAGGGGGACATCAAATCACAGAATCATGGAACGGTTTGAGTTGGAAGGGACCTTAAAGCCCATCCAGTTCCATCCCTTCCCATGGGCAGGGACACCTTCCACTGTGCCAGGTTGCTTTAAGCCCCAATGTCCAGCCTGGCCTTGGGCACTGCCAGGGATCCAGGGGCAGCCACAGCTTCTCTGGGCACCCTGTGCCAGGGCCTTACACCCTCATTGGGAAGAATATCCCATCTAACCCTGCCCTCTGGCAGTGGGAAACCATTCCCCCTTGTCCTGTCACTWCAAGTCCTTTCAGAGCATCTCTGCCCTCCTCTTAGGAGCTCTGGGGTAAGAKGTTTTCCCCATCCAGCCTAAGGTTTCCTTGTTCTCAGCCCCTTCACACTTAAAGCTGACATTCGGGCACTGGGACATCGTCTCCTGGGCTGTGTGGAGTCCCTTGTGGGGTTCCCCAGTGCCCAAAGAGCACGRTGAAGCAAAGGCTGTTGAAAAGGCATTAGCAGGGTTGGAATTGGATGTTTTGGTGTTGAACTGCATTGAGCTAAGTCSCAGGTGGTGGTTTGTAAATGGAATGGAGAGGCCCTGGCACAGGGTGCCCAGAGCTGCCCCTGATCCCTGGAGGTGTTCCAGGCCAGGCTGGGTGGGGTTGGAGCACCCTGGGATGGTGGAAAGTGTCCCTGCCATGGCAGAGGGTGCAGTGGAATGGTTTTAAGGTGCCTTTCAACCCAAACCATTTCATGACTCCCTGATCTGCCGTGGGGAGGTTGCAGAGATGGTGTATCTGCAGGAAGTGCAGTGAAACCTCCAGGCACATTTGCTTCCAGGGTGACTGTAGTCCATCCGCTGACACTGAGAAAAGCACCTTCAATATTAAGTGTTCAGGCTTCACTATTTAGAGTTTTACCTACCACCCACCCTTATTGCATCTTTTCCTGCTGCAGTTGCTTGTAAATGAAACATGCAGTTTTTCAGCTTCTTTCACATTATTGCCTGGACTTTGATTCTTAGGCCAAAACACTTTCCTAGTTTGTAAAAACAATTCTACRTATTTTGTGGCCCAGGGGGATTTTCTCAGCTCTTCCTGAAGGATTTGTTGCTGTGGCTGTTTTGTTGCCCCCAACTCTTTGACTGTTTGTTTTGCTGCYCCAGGTCTCGCAGTGGCCAGTGCACTGGTGGACATTTCACAACAGATGCCAATTGCCTACAAAGAGAAATCGGGCGCCATTCGGAATCGGAAGCAGCAGCCCCCTGCACAGCCAGGAACCTGTATTTGATGCATGGACATCAGAAACTGTCTAGGGTTTTAAACAAAATGGAAAAGTAACCGAGGAGGAGGAGGAGGAGAAAGATTTCCAAGTTGTGTCCCAAGAGACTAAAAGCACCCGGAAAAAACCACAACTTCCTTGAACCCGATTTTTTTCTCTCATTTACGTGCTAGTTGGCTTTATTTGACATCTGCTCCATTTAAGTTTTACTGACACACGGCTTCAGATTGCTCCTTTGTTTTCGTCCAGTTTAAAGTAAAATAATCTTATTGTAGGTGCGGGAACATCCGATGCCACCGTTCCTGGCCAGTGTAAATACAACAGTAGTCCAATATGAATGACACTCAGGTTTCTACATGGAAAGTGCTTTGTAGTTCATGTATTTATCAAACTGTACAAAAAGAAAAAGATCCAGTGTTTACAGGTGTCAGCTCTCAACTCATAAACACTACTATTAATCTTCAAAGCATCTTCATCCTTTGTTTTCATTTAATATTTAATTGTTCCYTCACTATTTCAGTGGAACTCTCTTCCAGGCACAGCCTTTTTTGTAGTCATCATGGTCCAGGAACTCAAAACCTGGGATGTTTTAAAGGTTGATGTTGCTCAGACCACGTGAAATAAATGGAAAGGTTGGATGTTCCTTTGGAAACACTTTCTTCAGTGTTTACATAGTCTTAACCTGTTTGGAGTACACTACACACAAGTGCCTAGACTTGAACAGATCTAGGGAGGAGACTGCTACACATGCTGCTTCTTCACATCCTTAGATTCCTTTTAGAGATATGTGTACTCACATCTAGAGTCACCCGAGGCACTCCGTGTTCTCTGTCCCGTGCAGTCAGAGGAAAATYGCATTTTCCTGACCAAACAACTGCTCACTCATCACTCAGATGGAAATATCTGGAAGGCACGTAGAGTTTCAGTATCTCATAAGAAAACTCCCAGTTACACCAGCATTTTCATAGAAGTAGTTTATGTTCCAGGTCAGACACATCATATTTTTCTGATTTTGGYCTCTTTCCTCCCCCTTCTTTCCCACCATCCTTCTGGATGAGAGCYGAGCTTGGAGGCATTGCTCCTCAGYGGTTATGATTTACTCCATCTTCTTACAGGGTGTAAAAAGCAGCCCCCTGGGTGCCACATCACTTGCGGATGAAGTAAAAAAAGAACTTTCAATACAAATCAAGCAGAGCAGCTTTGTTTTGCCACAGTTTTGAGTTCTACATGATCAGACCCTGGTATTTCCTGTGGAGCTTGAACTCTCTCAGATGCTGAAGAAGTGGCTGGTTGGTGAAAGGATGAGAGTTGCAAACAGCAAAGAGAAGGYTTGGCACTTGGGGGGTGCATCAAACAGCATCTGAACTACTCTGACCAGCTGGRATTGTGCTTTGAGGCTCAAGGTTGGACTTAAACCCATCCATCTGTGTGTGGTGGTGCACAGTGTCTCCCTGGAGTCAGGAATGTGGCACAGAGCAGGGCCACA